CGTTCCCATGCAGCCATCCTTCATGTCATTCTTTTCACTCTTCTGAGAGCGGTTATTGCGAAAGGCACCGCTGGTCGGGCCTTTTCAAGAGGATTTGTGTTGCGGGAAATGCTTGGCGCCAGAATCTGGAGCTTAGTGTGCTGATTCTTGCACAAGCAGTGGCAGAGGTAGAGAGCCGATTTTTGTTGGTTCTTCTGGTTCTCGGCCTGTTGCCCGTTGCAAGTTATAGCTTTTCTCAGTCAACAGGAGTGTCTGGCACGTTGATTTTTATGATTGTTATCTCAATAGCAATTGTCAGCATTTTTTACACCACAGCTCGGCTCAACAGAATGCACACACTGTCAAGGAAGCTTGAAGTTGAATCGGAAGCTTTGTACGCAAAGAATTTGCAGAATGACATGTCCAGGCTTTTTGGTGATTGGGGTAGAGACGATATTGCCCAGCCTCAAGTCACAAGCTTGACGGAACACTTCATCGAAGCCAGAAATCATCTTGATGACTTCGACAAGAATCTGTGCCTTCCACTGCGAGAGTTCTTGGAGGAGCAGCCTGGTTCCATATATCGCGGCAAGATTTGCGACCTGTACTGATGACAGTGCCAATGGCACAAGTTGCCGTCTTGCGAGAAGGTGAACCCAGTCGAATCTTAGATCTCTTGTATTGCGAGGTACTCTTCGACGATTGGGAGAAAATGCTCAGTGCGTGGTGCTTTTTGCAAACGAGAGCAGAGCATGATGAGTTGCGAGAAATTGAGATCGTGCGTACTCGCGATTCTTTTGCTTCAGTCCAAGCTGGTGTCAGATGTGCCGAGATGGTGGTCAAGATCAACCACTATTTAGCCACGATCCGTTTCCGTGAAGCCTCTTTGACAAAGCTGGAGAATCAAGTGGATGATGTGCACCACTTGGCAGAACAGGTGGGACTTGTGACGGGCAGTTTGCAAGTAGATCCCTTGCTTATGTCTGGGCGACCAGCACAGCAATCGCGATTGGTGGTCGTTGTTGTTGCTTTGCTTCGGATCAGCTCATTACTTGCAGCAGTGTACCTTGGGGGGCAATACTTTGTGCGGTACAGTCCACCTTTCATCCGTTCCAAGCTTCCAAAACTGATCCGAGATGCTTTTGCTCTCAAGCAGACAGTTGAGCCCAGTGATGAGAGGGTGCCGGAGGTTGCCACTTCTGAGTCTGCAGGGCAGTTGGAGGAGAGCCTTTTGCAGCTGTTGCCTTCCATTGTTTTCTCTTTGCCATACCTGGCCTTGATGATTGTTCTTCTGAGCGACTTGCGCCGGTGTCGGTCAGCCAATCTCAAGTTGAGACCGTTGAAACCCACCCAGCTGCTCTACGAGAAGTATTTTGGCATTGAAGGCAGGCTCTACGGCTTCAAAGTCGCAATGCTGCAATTGTTCACCGTGATGCTACAGGCCTTCGGGAAGCTCCAAATCATGGGTGGCCTTGTGTCATTTGCATTTCATTCAGCTCCGAAGCATTCAGATGCGTTTGAAGGATGTTTTTGGGCTTTTGTGGGTTTCCTATGTCTGAACAGCATCTATCCAACCATTTTGTTGGGTTTGCCCTCTGTGAAGTGGGTGCGCCGTGGCGCTGCGATGATGGATGCGGTTCTTGATATTGCTTACACCAGCACATACCTCGTCATCACCTTGCTGGCCATCTATGAGCTACAGCTGGGCCAAACCATTCCAGGAAATTTTGGGGATGAGGCTTCGGTGAACTTCCAAGCAGAGTTGGACCCGGCATTTGCATTCCCAGCCGACTTTTTTGGTTTCTTTGCTGTCTACTATTCACTTGCACATGTTTGCACAGTTTGCCGTGCTTTGGAGCGAAGCGATCGACTGACATACTGGAAGAAGTTGCAAAGTTTACCGAACTCTGCTTCCCAGTCACTGCTGAGCCCATCGAGATTTTCTTGCTCAAAGAGATATCGGATTTGTTGCAAAGCCTTGCGTTTTTGCTGCATTGGTTTCGTTATGTTTCGTTTTATGTTGTCTCTGCAATTTTCAATCCATCGTGGTTTCGCAACCTGTTGGACCTGTTGACACAATTTGTCATGTGAGTATCTCGAAGCCCCTCAACCTATTTGTACAGAGGAGGCGTCTTGTTGTTCTCAGCTTTACTGTACTTGCTGCACCCTTTCGTGCGTCCTCAAGCATATATTAATACAATCTGATACACCACTTCTTAAGGTGTTGTTCCCCAGCATCAACAGCCAAGGGGGTTCCACGGGCTTTTGAAAGGTTTTTCAGCACGTTTCAGGGTTCCCACTTTGTTTCACAGGTCCAGGATTCCGAGGTGCATTCCAAGTATTTCAGGGTTTCCAGGGTTACAGGATTCCACAGTTGCAAGGTGCTGTTGGTTGCAAGGTGCCGTCGGATGGCATAGTTGCAGGAGTCCCAGCAAAGGCACTCGCGAAGTAGAAGAATGGATACCTATGATACCTGTGTCTTCAATATCAATCCCCCTGAGATTGGGTTTCTGTTTCATGGCGTGAGTTTGTTTGATGGATGAACTCGAGTTATATAATCGTTTCTACTTGCAACCACTGCTGAGGTATTCGCCCTGTTTGCTTGTCACGATCGTTGCTCTGCTGCTTTCGTCACACTTCTACCCGATTCACACGGCTGATTTCGGATGCTTTCCGTGCCGCTGTCACCAAAAGGATCATGGTGCAAAGCACCTTGGGAGCTGCAGCCTTGTAGGCGTTCTTCGCCTCAAAGATGTGAGTTTGAACAAGCAAAGGATCACAAGTATTGCGGAGGATGCCTTCACCTCTTCACGGGGCTTGCAACGGTTGTCGCTCTCTGGGAATCGGTTGTCTGTTTTGCCTCAAAATGTGTTTGCCCCGTTGGAGAGCCTGCAACTCTTGGACCTGGGCCACTTGGGTTTGCAACAGGTGGAGTCAGACACGTTTGCCGGCTTGTCAAACTTGAAAATCTTGTCGCTGAGCCAAAACCGATTGAAGGTGTTGCCAGAAGACTTGCTGCGCCCGATGCCAGCCCTGGAGAAATTCTTGCTGGGGGGGAAAACTGATGAGCACGGCCAACCGATCATTGATGGAAACGAGCTGAGCGTACTTCCGCAAGAGCTTTTGCAGCACAGCCCGCGGCTACAAGTTCTCGATCTGAGCGAAAACAAGTTGACCTCGCTGCCACACAACGTCCTTGATAAAATTCCTTTGTTGGAGACCCTCGACCTTGGTCAAAACAAACTGGCTGATTTGCCAGGCCAAATCTTTTCAGGGCTCGACAACCTCCAGGAGCTGGACCTGGGTCGGAACAAGCTCAGTGAGTTGCCTGCTGGAGTCTTTTCTGGGCTTGGCAACTTGCGGAAGCTGGACCTGAGGTACAACTTGCTGAGTGACGTGCATGCTGAAGTCTTTTCTGGACTAGGCAACCTGCAAACACTCTTTCTATCTTCTAACAAGCTGAATGACCTGCCTGCTGAAGGCTTCGCAGGTCTCAGGAACTTGCAGGAGCTTGACCTGAGTGGAAACCATCTGAGTACGTGGCCTGCTGAAGTTTTTTCTGATCTCCGCAACCTGCAGAAGCTTAACCTGGCCTCCAACTCAATCAGTGTGGTGCCTGGTGAAATTTTTGCAGAGCTCGGCAACTTGACGGACCTCGACTTGCAGTCAAACCAGCTTTATAAGTTGCCTGCCAAAGCGTGGGCAAATCTGTTTGCAGGGCTCGGCAACTTGCAGATTCTCGACTTGCAATGGAACAAGCTCAGAGCGCTACCTGATGGAGTCTTTTCCAGGCTTGGCAACCTGCATAAGGTTGTCCTGAGTAGAAACTACCTTAGAGGGTTGCCTGCTGAGGTTTTTTCAGGGCTCTGCAAGTTGCAGGAGCTCAGCCTGTCGACGAACTTGCTCGCTGAGTTGCCTGCTGAAGTCTTTCAAGGGCTCAGCAACTTGCAGAAATTGGACCTGAGTTCGAACTATCTCAGTGAGTTGCCTTCTGAGGTTTGGACCAATCTGTTTGCACCTCTGGGCAACCTGAAAAGTCTGGATTTGGTTCGGAACTCGCTCAGTGAGTTGCCTGCTGATGTCTGGACCAATCTGTTTGCACCTCTGGGCAACCTGAAAAGTCTGGATTTGGGTTGGAACTCGCTTGGTGAGTTGCCTGCTGATGTCTGGGCCAATCTCTTTGCAGGGCTCAACAACTTGCAACATCTCATACTGGGTGCCAACAAACTGAGTAAGCTGCCTTCTGAAGTCTGGGCCAATATGTTTGCAGGGCTCAGCGACTTGCAGGAGCTTCAATTGTGGGCAAACGAACTTAGTGAGTTGCCTGCTGAAGTCTGGGCCAATCTGTTTTCACGGCTCAGCAACTTGCAACATCTCAATCTGAAGCGCAACAAACTCAGTGAATTGCCTGCTCAAACCTTCGCAGGCCTCAGCAACTTGCAGAAGCTTGACCTGAGTTACAACAAGCTTAATGAGTTGCCCACCGAAGTCTGGGCCAAACTGTTTGCAGGGCTCAGCAAGTTGCAGAAACTCGATCTGGCTGCCAACTCACTCAGTGAATTGCCTGCTCAAGCCTTTGCAGCGCTCAGCAGCTTGCAGGAGCTGGACCTGAGTTCGAATGCACTCAGAGAGTTGCCTTCTGAAGTCTTTTCCGGGCTCAACCACTTGCAGAAGCTCGACCTGCGATACAACAAACTCAGCGAGTTGCCTGCCGAACTTTGGAATACAATTTTTTCAGGACTCGGCAACTTGCACGTGCTTAATTTGCGCGGAAACTTGCTCAAGGAGTTACCCGCAATTTGTTCAAGTGTCAGTGTAGACTGCCCAAACTACTGAGATATCCGGCTGCTAGACCGATGAGGGATGACCTGCCTGTTTGAAAATGATGGGTCGAGCTGCCTGAGTGGTGATGGGTTTGAGTTCTGGTTATGCTCTTTCCACCATGTGGCCATGTGGGTGCAGGGTTTCAGGGCCAGGGATCCACCAATGACAGAGATGGTCAACCTTCAACCACCTCCGAGGTTTCAGCTGGTCTCAAAACACCATGGCCGAAACCGGGAGCAGCTGAATTCCAGTCGAAGTCAACAAGATTATCAAGGTTTTATTCAGTTTTCTGTCCTGCTCGTCTGATTTTCTTAATTGGATATTGGACTTGCTTGCTGTGGGGTGTCTTGATGCATCTTGATGCTATTTTTCTGGCTGGCCTCTACCTGAAGACTCCTTATTACACGTCGTAAGGTTCAATATGGACCTCCGGAAAGAAACCATTGAGTCTGCTAGGGGCGGAACAGAACCTGTTTGTTTTGAAACTGGAAGAAAGCTGCTGAGGGAGGGGTTACAAAGTTCCATGTTGCCAAACAGAAGTCCCGATTCGGACCCTTCTGGCAGCTTTTTTTTCGGTTGAAAGGCGTGCCCCTTCATTGACAGATTCTTGGAATTTCTGCTCCCTTCAACGACTGAAACGTGTTTTTGCAACACTCTTCGTGTCCAGCTGTGTTTCGAGTTCTCAGTCGTGGCAAGACACACTTGGTGCATCTTGGTGCTCAGGACGCGATGCGACACTCACACTACGCAGGGCTGACAAGGCGCAAAAGAGTTCGGGCGGGACAATTTTCCATGCATGAATTTGTCTTGTTTCATGAACCCAGAAGCTCCTAAAATATCCTAAAATGAAATAAATACAACCAATTGTTTGTTCGTGGCTTGGTGCACTTCATTGGACGATGGGCCGCCTGCTGTGACATGACAAATGATCCACATCTTCGGCCATCAACAGAAACAATTGTGAAAATCGATCCGGCAATTGATCCACCTAATCACAAAGTATAGAACATCGCGAAAGGAAATATTGTAGGGAGGCATTGCGGATTTTTTTTCCGTTGGATCGTTTAGTAGAGAAGGGCCGTATGAGAGCCGTGAGTTTGGGTGGGCCTATAGCTGTGCACTAAAAACCCTACGGGTGATCATAGCACGGAATGCGAATACTTGGGGTTCCGATATTTTGATCATTGGCTGCGCACCCAAGAATCAATGCTCGGGGATACTGCCTTCGATATCAACTGATATCATATTTTCATTGATATTCATAAAAATCAATGATAAATATAAATAAAGTTTAATAGATAGATATACATCATATGTCTGGTTGAACTCACCCTGATTCAGTGCAGTCCTTCTTAAAATTGCCTTGGGCTGTTACGCAGTTCATGACCTGGGCACCTGGGTACCTGGGTACCCACCGGCAGGTCACGTCACCTAGCTGCGGGTTCTCCACGTGGGGAGACGATGCCAGGCCTGAGAGATGATGCCAGGACATTACCAGGGGCTTTAGAGTTGAGCTGACACGAGTTGACATGAGTTGATTTTTATATCATCAGGGGATTCAGGGGCTTTAGAGTTGAGATGGGTTGACATGACTTGACATGTTGATCTTATATCATCATGAATCATCATGAACCATGAAAACAGTGAGATTGTTATGGATTGTGGCTTTTCAGTGGCAGCATATGTTGGAGACATCTAGAAGATTCAGTGATCTTTTCATACCATTTTATCCTACGGCATATACGATATGGTCGAATGATTGTGGAAAAGCCAGCTGTAGGAACTAAGGCAAAACGCGTTGCACTTTCTGTTGAATAGGTATTATCCAAGTTGTAGGGCTCTCTGAATTTGTCAAAACATGCCGGAAATTTCAGCTCCATGTCCTCAGATGGATTTCATGTGTTTTTTTCCTGTATGAATAACACATCCCAAGCGGGTTCGCTACGAGGCGAAGCGCGGGGCTGCCAAGTTGGACAGCGAGGCAGCTGAAGTGGAGCTGGATAGATTCATACTGGCGTCAAGGGAGAAGTTTCCGCGGAGCTTTCGGATTTCCGTTGTGTTTTTTTCCCGGTTTGAGGCCTTTCAAATATGTTGAGCAAACGTAATTGGAATCTGTTTTGTCTCAGTGATAGGAGTTGGGTCCAGTGGGTCCACCTAGTGCCTGAAATGTTGATCCTAGCAGGTGGCACGTCCAACATGTACCCGGTAGGTCCAATTTGGTGATCGGAGATATCAACTTTTACAGTTGATGTTCCTGTACTGAAAATTGGGTTTTCATTGCCAGGTTTGATTGGAGGGCAAAGAAGTTCAAAGTTCATCAAAGTTCATCAAAGTTCACTGTTTACCTTTTCTCAGTTCGGTTTGAGTCGTGACACCACTTGTCCGTTGCCCCCACTTGGCGTTGCAACCTTGTCCGGTACCACCCGGCAGCATGGACAGTCATTGCATCTTGCCACCATGATGCATGCCATCTGAGGACGCCACCTCGTTGTCGCACTATGTTGGAACAGAGTTGTTAGAGAGATCCTTTAGGATCCTTTAGGGTTCGGCAAAACGAAGTTGATCCACGATATGCAGTAGGCTTGATTAGGCTTGATTAGGCTTGACAGCTGCAGGACTTCCCTGCAGAGGTCCTGGAAGAGCTCGGAAACCAAGCATTGAGACGTGTGGGTCATGTTTACTGTGTTGGTTCTTGTGGAGGTGTTGCAGATTCTGTGTCTCCGCTCTCAAGACGGACCTGTCTCACAGCATTCGGTGACATTCACCTCGAGATGAAACGGCCAGCCAAGCACATTGAGAACAGAGCAGCCAAATCTCATGTTGCGTAAGAGAAAGTGAGAAAGTATTTGATAAACCATGGACAAATCTGTGTATTGTTACAGACTGCACTGAATTCGTGCCGCTGGACAGCGCAAAGGATTCGCTGCCTCATGTCGGTTTCTGTGGATATTCCTGGACATGGTTACTTAGATATCAAACTGACTGCGACGAGCACCGCTGCTGACATTATTTTACTGCTACGTGAGCGTTTGCCAGACAGCCCATGGCATGGGAACAAGTTGCTGTCAAGTGGGGTCTGCCAGCTACAGTGCGATGACATTGTGGAGGCAACCCGCCACAGCACTTTAATCTTGACAAACTACTCAGAGATCACCAACCAGGAGACACACCTGCCTCTTTGTTCTTTTTTTGGCAAAAAGGCGATATAACCAATAGGATCAAATAGAATAAAGAGAAAGTGTATTTAGAAGTCAATCTGTTGAATTTCAGAGATTGCAGGCCCATTATTCCAGCTTCGCTACTGCATAATGCTTCAATTGAATTCCATTCCAATTTCATTTGCTGCATGTGTTGGTGGACCCACACACGTCGAAGGAGGCTTTCTGCATCGAAGATACTGCAGAGCGAGGGATCACTCGCGAGCAATTGGCAAAGATCGTTGTTTTCATCTCCAAGATGGCTGACAGATGGTGCGAGACTTTCGGAGAACAGCGTGGGACAAGGCTGCAGTTTGAGACCTTCAACTTGTATCATGCGAATCACTGGATCATCAAACCAGCCACCGAAGCCTGGATTTGTTGATGATGTGACAACATTTTCCAATTTGAAGAACCTACCGTTTTTCTTTTTTTAATTGGCAACATTATGCAGAATCCCAGGACGGCTATGCGAAAAAGGGCTGCAGCATGGTAGAGCTCATGGCGATTCAAGTTCAGAGACCTCATTGGTTTGTGTCACATGCTTGGATCGAGCCTTGCCTGATAGGCAAACTCTCAAGCTTGTTTGAGACCGTGTTATTGCATTGTCTGTCGCCAACAAGTTACTTTTTCCACTAATAATTCACATTCCCAAGAAATGAACATCCAGCGTAGTGATAGATGAAAGTCAATCTATTGCTTTGAAGTTTTGTGTTGGGCAGATCTGTGAGGAGCCTGTTTGTAAGTTTCTGGCCTGCTTGGAGCAGCATGCTCTGGTGCGAGAACTCTCAAGCAGTACATTCTATTGGGTCTGTGCATATGCCAATAACCAGCACTGCGTGGAAGAGGATATCAAAAGCAACCCACGCAGCACTTCATTCTACAGAGCTATGCAGATGTCTGAGGGAGTTCTTTTGACGGGCTCTGACAGCACTATGCGGTTGGGGACTATGAATGTACGGTCCTTGGGAGGCCGCTTGGGTGGTGTGCTTGACTTTGCTCAGCTCCAGAATTTACATGTTCTGTGTCTTCAAGAAACTAGAGTTAACAGTCACAGCTGGAATGCTGTGACTCGTGCCGTCAAGGCACGCGGGTGGCAACTTTTTCCTGGCCCTCAAGGAAGAAATTCGAAAAATGTAGTGGAAGGTGGTACATTGGTTCTAACAAAGTGGCCTGCTGAGGCCTTGGCCCTTCCTGTCGACATGGTGTCTGTGGAAAGATCCATGGCCGTCAAACTCTATAGACCTCAGCAAAGGCCGTTGATTCTCATCAATGTTTACTTACATGCTTCTGATCGCACAGCTGCCAGCCGTGCGCTGGGTGCGCTGTTCGAGTTTGTTGCTGCTTGTGGTGAAGATACAGTGATCATGGGTGACTTCAATTTGGAAATTCATTGTTGGCCAATTTCTAACGTTTTGGCTACTGGACAGTGGCGGTCCTGTGATGAGCTGGTTTGCGGAGATCGTGTTTTAGGTGGTACACATCGAACTGCTGCAGGTGTTTATACAGGTGTGGTCATTGACTATGGCTTGTGCACTCCTCGGTTAATTATTACTGGTAGGGAGCAACATCTTGGCGTGGCTGACCATGACGCGGTGGTTTACAACTTGCATGTGCCTGGTTCATTATCCACACCGTGGACTCTCCCAGTTGGTGCCCCTTTGCATTCTGAAAAGGTCGCTGAAGCTTCTTGGCTAAGTGCTTGGGAAGAAGTATGTGACGATTTTGGACATGCATTGAGTACAGGCAACGTGGACTCTGCTTGGACCTTACTTAGCAACTGCGCAGAATCTCTTCTTCTCGCACGTGGCAAAACTGGTCGTGCTATGCGCCAGGGCCCGCAGCAAATTGCCAGTCCTCCGTCTTCAAAAGCGCCTTCTTTGCAAACAGTGAAAGAGCGCAAGCTCAGACGCTTCGCACGAAGAGTGGTGGAGTACCAAAAGGCCCCGTTGCCAGAGTTGGAGAAGAAGTTGGTTCGTGATGGCCCTCATTTACATCATTCTTTGGCTTTTTTCTCTTTGGATGACCCCAGGTTGGTTAGTGCAGTGCTAGAATTGGCAAATGCAGAAGCTACAGCAGCGTCCAAGTTACGCTTGGAGGCGTGGAAGGACAGCGTGCAGGAAAATGCCACCAAACTAGGCAGGTGGGTCAAACAGGTGCCGCCCGCCAGTCCTACTGCAAGTTTTGATGGCCCCATTCTACCTGCAGATAGGGCCAAGTGCGCAGCATTGGATTGGGAGAGGTATTGGAATCCAGGGTCGCTTCCGAATTTGAATCTGGGGGACCAGTTGTACTCTCAGATTGGCTCTGCAAGCGATCCATTGCCGGATGACTGTATTCAGGTTAGTGGTTCTGAATTGGTTCGGATTGCGCTCAAAGCGAAGGACAAGGCTCCGGGCATGGATGCCTGGACAGCTCTCCATTTGTGCAATCTTCCCATTGCTTTTTGGGATCAGGTCGGTGCTCTTTGGGATGCTTGCTTGCGACATGGCTGTGTTCCTACGATGTGGAAAGATGTTAGAATTGCTTTGTTACCAAAAGCTACTGGTGGCATGCGCCCTTTAGCCATTGTCACTGTCCTGTGGCGTATTTGCATGAGTGCCACTCTGAAAAAATTACAGCCTTGGATTGCGGAATGGGCTTCGCCCGAACTTTTTGGTGGTCTACCAGGCAAGGGCATCATGGAAGTCCATGAACGTTTCTACGAAGCTGTCAGCGCGGCAAAGCAGTCTCGTGTCGATTTGGTCGGGTGCAAAGCTGATGTTCGCAAGTGTTTTGATTCAGTTTGCCCTCAGACAGCCATTAAAGTGTGGCGATGGTTCGGTGCTCCCTCATCAATTTGTGATTTACTCGCTGATTTTTACAGTGAACAGCGTCGTTGGTTTGCTTGGCAAGGTTCTTATCACCCTCATCCGGTTATTGCTCAACGGGGTTTGTTGCAAGGCTGTCCAGCCAGCCCTGCGCTACTGAACGCTTTGATGACAGTTTGGGTGAGGTTTGTCAAACGGCAGGAACCAAGGATTTCTTTGGCTATTTATTTGGACGATCGCACCATGTGGAAACAAGGTTGTCAAAGTTTTGAAGTGGTCATCAACGCCATGACTGCGGGAGCGCAAGCCGATGCTATTCTCGGCTTCGAACTTCACCCTGACAAATTGGCTAGCTTCGCCACCAAACCGCATCTGGTTGCCAAGGTGCGCAAGAAGAAAGATTTAGTAGGTGTACCTGCGGATACTTTCACACTGCTTGGCATTCAATACAATTTGTCACGCCCCAGTTCTTGTGTTGATGCGGATATTGTCAGTGACAACATTCAGCGACGGTGTCTCAAAATTCGTTTGGCAGCACAGCACTTAGGCACTCGCATTGCATTGGTGCATAAGTTGGTGATATCTTTATTTGCTTGGTCCGGTGCTTTTCATCACTTCAGTGCAAGAACCATTCGAACATGGACATCTATGATCGAAACTGCACTTTGGGGTCGAAGGGCTCCTCCAGGTAGGAGCCGGCTGCTCTTTTGGAATTCTTTGGGTTCTGCAAGACTACATCCGATGTTTGCGCTCCAGTTCACCGCCGCCCGGGCGGAATGGAATCGGCAATGCCGCCGTGCCCAAGGGTTGCCTGCAGCTACCTCGCCTGCTCCTCGCTGGAAAGCAGTACTCAAAGATTGGAAATGGCGACTTGACGATGGCCTGTGGCACACGCCTGCTGGGATTTTGAAACCTGGGTGGATGTCTTTGAAAAGCTTGCAAAAGGCCGCTATCCATTCATGGCTCGTTGGTTTGTGGACTAAAGACACCAAAACGGATGGTCGATGGCCAAACGGCAAGGAGCCGGTTTTCCTTTTTCAGGCAAATGCAGCTTTAGGCATGGATTACTACAGTCGCAGGGTTTTGACTGGTGCTGCAGTGGATGGCAGGGTCACAGAGCGCTTTGGTTCTGCTTTGAGTTGTGAATGTGGATTGCGGTCTCCTGATCGAGAACATCTCACTTTTCACTGCCAAGCGCAGCCATGGGATGGTGAGTTCAGGAGCGCTACTGAACGTCGTTTGCTGGTTCCACTTGTGGATGCTCCTCCTGTGTTGCCTTTTTCCAACATGGTTGCAGATCCTGCTTTGGTTACTTTTATTCAGCAATTCGATCCTCTTCAGCGACCCACCTTGGGTTTGGACGGCAGTTGTATCATAGCTACTTCCTGTGATCGATGGCAAAGAGCTAGCTGGGCGGTTTCGACACTTTCAGGCACCACTGTTCAAGGTGCCGTGACTGGTTTTGAGCAAACACCTGCTGCAGGTGAGCGTGCTGCTCTTCTGCAAGCTTGTTTAGCCTCTTCTGCAGCTAACAGACCGGTGATGCTCTTGATTGACAATCAGGCTTTGGTGCGGCGGCTTCAGCGAGGCATTAGCACTGGCCGTTGGGAGGGTGACTTGCCGCTTTTCTGGCAGCGGATCAGCGGCTTATTGATTCAGGGCACTGTTTGCACTTGGATCCCTTCTCACAACAAGGTGCCTGACTGGACACCACCAGATGGTTGGATTGATGTTCATCTCTGCCGCGTTCTCAATGCGACAGCCGATGCTCAGGCATGTGAGGTGTTGCGTGACTCACGCTCCATGATCGCTGCGGCTGTGCAGCGACATCAGCGAGCCGTGGCTTGGGCTGCAGCAGTTTGGCGTCTGCAGAGGCTACGGACTTTAGACTTTACCTTTTTGGCAAGTCGTACTTGATCAACAAACATTCCATGCGGAATGCTAGCTGGCGCACTGTGTTTACTTCTTTTTTATTTCAGGCAGGTTTCGCTTCTTTTGAGTTTTGCTTGGAGAAGTATGGGAACTTGATTCTCGCAGATGGCATACTATGGCGTCTTAACTACTTCACTTCGGTGAGGAGCAGGTTGACGTCCGCTTACAACAACAACAACAAGAACGCCTTTCGAAAGGATTTGGTGCTGCTTCGAGGAAGCCATGGCCACAGCCTTAGAAATTCCTAGAGTGCGAGAAAGCATCATAGAACGAGAAAAACGGTGACATGAACGTGAATTTTTTTCGTTTGTGAGTTCTGCCTGAAGGGACACGTTTTGATTTGTCCAGCTAGCAGCTGGCTTGTTTCAGTGCAAAATGCGATTTGCATACATGTGAATGGGGTATAACGAGCAGGAGCAACACCAGGTCATGTTCGTAAAGGCAGGCAATGCTTCAGTAGATAGTGGATCGAAGGAGACACTGGTGTAAACAATTCCGGTATTTTCACCCTAAAAGCGACGAAGGCGATCGAACATCGAGAGGGCAACTGGTCCAGACGACGTTTATTGCTTGATGTGGGAGCCACTGACGCATATGACAAAGCTGCTCGACACAGAAGGGGTGGCCTTGTGTGGACATTTCCTTTGTGTGGTTTGCTCGAAAGGTTGAGACCATCGCCTTTACCGTAACCCCCATTTCTACATCCTTTTCAACTGTTTCACATCACCTTACTGTAAGCATCCCTTTCCATATACAAAGAGGTGATAAGTGAAAAGTGATGTTTTGACCCTTCCAAACTTGTTGATCTCTGAGGCTCACGTGCTTACTGATGGACTTGCCGGAGCGGAAAGTCGAATGATTGGCATCATCGGCTTGCACCACAAAGCAGCTCGTGAGCGTCACTTTCCTCTGGACCTTTTGGAAAAGGGCTTGAAGGTCAAAATCGAAGAAACTTGCTGCGGGATTGCAAGAAACCTCTACTGTTTTGATGTTGTTTGGAGAACCGTTTTATGCATTTGGACGATCGATTGAATGAACAAGGTCCATGGTCCATTGTTCATATTGTTCCATTTGCATTGCATGAATGTCACCTCGCAAAAATGGCTCATTCTAATTCTAAGTTCTCTCTTTTTCCAGAAGGTGAGCGAGCCATATAATCATGAGTTTGAATGTT